AGTACCTAGACATTGAAAGGCAAGATATGAAAACTACAAAACTAAAGATGCATCCGGGAACAGCAGCCAAGAAAGTGTTCATGCAAAGACTCCACGGCAACTGACAGGGAGAGGGGAGGCACATATACATAAAAGAAAGAATCCAGTAGTAGAATGCAGCAGCAGATTCTCATGAGCGGCTCCGTCAGGAAGGGGGTATAAATGGCCCTAGGGCCCACTCATATCTAAGGAGAAGGAAAGAAATACAGAAAAGAACGGGGAGAGGAGGAAGAAAGGTCTGCAGGAAAAAAAGGGAAAGCACAGAGAGGCGTTCAGAAAACGGAACCTCCAAAAATGTAAGCTACATTTTGGGACGCCCCTAAGCCGGTGGTATGTACCTAGACATTGAAAGGCAACATATGAAAACTACAAACTAAAGATGCATCCGGGAAAAGCAGCCAAGAACGTGTCCATGCAAAGACTCTACGGTCAAATGGCAGCTGAGAGGGGAGAGGGGAGGAAAATATAAATTGAAGAAAGACACCAGCAGTAGAATGCAGCAGCAGATTCTCATGAGCGGCTTCGTCAGGAATCGGGCAATGGCCCTAGGGCCCACTGGTATCTAAGAAGAAGGAAAGAAATACAGAAAAGAACGGGAAGAGAAGGAAGAAAGGTCTAGAGGAAAAAGGGAAAACACAGAGAGGCGTTAAGAAAATGGAACCTCCAAAAATGTAAGCTACATTTTGGGACGCCCCTAAACCGGTGGTATGTACCTAGACATTAAAAGGCAACATATGAAAACTACAAAACTAAAGATGCATCCGGGAAAAGCAGCCAAGAAAGTGCTCATGCAAAGACTCTATGGTCAAATGGCAACTGAGAGAAAGAAACCAGCAGTAGAATGCAGCAGCAGATTCTCATGGGCAGCTTTGTCAGGAATTGGGTAATGGCCCTAGGGCCCACTGGTATCTAAGAAGAAGGAAAGAAATACAGAAAAGAACTAGAGGAAAAATGAAGACACAGAAAGGCGTTAAGATTATGGAACCTCCAAAAATGTAAGCTACGTTTTTGGAGGGTCTAAACCGGTGGTATGCACCTAGACAGAAAGCAACATATGGAATCTACAAAAATCTACAGAACTAAAGATGCATATGGACAATAAACAATCAATATGGAAAATTGAAAGCCACCTGGAAAGGCTACCAAAAGGTCAAAAGGCTTTAGAATGGCTCAAAGGCTTGAAACTAGGTTGGGTTGTGGAGGTGGGAGATGGCCAGGGTGGCTGGGTCATAAGAAAACCATAAGAAACGTGTAACGCTTTTGGTTTTGTTATGATTTTGATATAGTTTTGATATGATTTTGGTATGGTTTTCCTTTTCCGAAGGATGGAGGCAGGTTCCCCAAAGCCTCCTGGAAAGGCTACCAAAAAAAAACTCTGGAGTTGCCCAAAGGCTTGAGAAAAAACGGCAAATCATACCAAAACAATAACGACACCATAAAGGCATACTTTACATACATGCTTCTGTCACTGGCTTGGAAATAGCAGGAAGAAAAGGAAGAAGGTCTAGAGGAAAAAGGTAAAACACAGAAAGGCGTCAAGAAAACGGAACCTCCAAAAATGTAGCTTACATTTATTCAAGAAATGTAACTTACATTTTTTAAGGTGTCCCTAAGAAAATGTAACTCAGATTTTTAAAGCTCAAAATTGCAAAAAATGTAGCTTACATTTAGACAGGTCCCCCCCCCTTAGGGGTGGGGATATTGAAACAAGTATCCGACCGCAGAGCATCACACATATACTATACATATATATATATATTATGATATTGTTTGGTTTTAATGTTTACTAATTTCCGCAAGCCGCAGGATACCACGGGTTTGTTTGTTCCACACAGGTCTATATTTTTCGGGGTCCATGTTCGTTGTATGGATGCTGATGCTGGACGCGAACTTTTGCGCATGGGTTTGCGCGAGTGTAACGACGGGGCATCCGGCTGAAAGATCGACGTTTTCTGCAGACTGGATGCTTTCCCGCACACAGATGACTCGTTCTGTCTGTATTGGGTTGAAGACGACCGACATTAAGGGCATCGCTACTGGTATCTCCTGGCATCGCTACTCGGAACAAGGGCATCGCTACTAGGAACAAGGGGCTCCTGGCCTTACTACTAGGAGCCAGGACGCTACTGGGGTTCCTGGCGTCGCTACTAGGAGCAAGAAACTACTAGTAGATGATGGGCTAAGATGATCTGTGCCGCACAGATCCTGCAGGCGCAGTGGCAGAGGGGCAAGGCACCGGAGCGGAGCCGCTTCCAACGGCTGGGGGCAGCCGGACCACCCACACACGAGGCCAGGCTGTTGGCGGACTCGCTGGCGCAGGTGGGGCCAGAATGTGTTTGCCTTTTCTTCCTGTTTATGTGGTGGCCTGGGTTGATGGATGAGGCTGTGTTTTTCTAGAATTGTCGTGTTGTTTCAGCCGATGTGAGCAAGTACAATGAGCGAGTTTTGCGACTCAACTCGCAGGGTTTGGGATGTGGGGTTTGCCAGCAGCTGATGAAGAGCTTGTGGGAAGACTTGGCGCGGCCGACAGCCACCAACCTGCGGGAAGTGATCTCCAAGGGCTGTCCCTTCCTGGTGAAGAAACATCTTCTACGACAGGGCTGGGCTGCCTCGAGCGGTGCGCTTTGCGAGGGGGCCGGCCGACGGGCGGCGGACGGTGAAGCTTGGTGCTTCCTGCAGGAGAAAGAGCGATGGCTTTCGGTGGTTCGGAGTGGAAGCACTTTTGTGTGAACATCCAATAACGAAAGGAACCGAATAGCGATGGCCTCCAACCTAAGAGCGATGGCCTCCAGCTCGTTCATCATGGTTTTGAATCACCGCATTGATAGATTTTTGAGTTGCCTTGTCACCCTGCCTGAGTGCTGCTCTCCCACGGTGAGAAGGACATGTCTCGCAAACCAGTTTTGAGACTCGAAGAATGAGACTCTTTTCAAGATTTGTGCCACATAGAGTTTGTTTTGCTACTAGTAGCGTCCTTGCTCCTAGTAGCCGTCATAACTCACCCAGTCTTGAAGATTTCTCCCAGAGCCAAAACAAGGATCAAAAACGGCAAACGAAGGGAAGCATGTAAAAATGCAGGACACCCTTTCAGAGTCGGTGGAGCACCCTGAGCTGGCCGAGCACTATGATCCAGCCAAGGATTCATTGATGTTAGCCTGTGAAGCTCAGAGAGAAGACAGTGGCATGATGATGTGCACAGGAAATATCCATGCTTGTCTTTTTTAAGCAGAGTCTTTAGATAGTCATGCACTCTTGAACTCCATGGGGCCACCCCAAGAACGAAGGACCTTCATCCGCTAAGGATCGCTATATGAGGGCCGTCCGTTATTGCCAGTGAAGGAATTTCGATCACATGTTAAAACACACATGTCGCGAAAGGGAAACTGCAGTCCGCGAAAGGCCGGCGATAGGACAGCGAAAGACATGTGCCAACCTAGTTACATACAATGTGCATAATACATGACACATCCTTTTTCCCGAACAGAAACACGGATTTTCGCGAAAGGGCTGCGAAAGGCCGGCGGTAGGCCCGCGAAAGGGCGCATTGCCTGGAAGGTCATCTGCCCATCCATGGCCTTGAAATAAGCCTTGAAACATTTGTTTCAAGTATGAATTGACAAAGGGATTTAGCCTGCTTCTCAGCGCACTAACAGGTATTTAGATATCCCAAACACTGTGAACTCAGTCAAGCTCATCACAATGCGCGAAAGGAAAACCTGTGGTTTTTCTGCAAACGCGAAAGGGTCGCGAAAGGCCGGCGATACAAGCTCAAAAAGAATAGCTTTGTTGGACAACTCCCATATAAGGCATAGCAACCTTCACTCAGTACACTAATGATCATGGCTCGTTTTGGGGAGGGCCGTTCGCTAAGTTGCGGGGATCTGGCAACCATCGCAACACAGCTGCTGGCCGCCAGCTCCTTCGCACAACTGATTCTCGAAGGTGGCACGCTGCTAAGATTGGTAGTAAGGTCGAAAACACTTCTCCAATTCGGGGCGGCAACCAACTGAACTTTCAAGGCGCATCTGTGCCATTGCTGGTCTCCCAAGATTGAAGCCAAGACTGTGACGGGGCAGCCGGGGACGGTGCCGAACGGCTATGGGGAACCTGATCCCCAGTCATCGTGAAACGAGCTCAGGGATTCAAGACGAGCTATTAAAACAGTCTCCTCCCTCCGCAACGAGAGGAGTGAGCCTAGCAAGCAGCACAGCAACCGAACTCAATAGGGATACAACGAGGGACACTCCCCAACGGTTGGAGGCCAACGCTACCAGGGTGGAGGCCACCGCTACTAGGGTGGAGGCCATCGCTATTAGGCGCTATTGGAGGCCATCGCTACTAGGGTGGAGGCCATCGCTACTAGGTCGGAGGCCATCATCGCTACTAGGTTGGTGGCCATCGCCACAAGGGTAGAGGCCATCGCTACTAGGGTGGAGGCCATCGCTACTAGGGTGGAGGCCATCGCTATTAGGTTGGAGGCCATCGCTACTAGGGTGGAGGCCATCGCTACTTGGTTGGAGGCCATCGCTACTAGGTTGGAGGCCATCGCTACTAGGGTGGAGGCCATCGCTACTAGGGTGGAGGCCATCGCTAGTAGGGTGGAGGCCATCGCTATTAGGCGCTATTGGAGGCCATCGCTACTAGGTTGGAGACCATCGCTACTAGGGTGGAGGCCATCGCTACTAGGTTGGAGGACATCGCTATTGGGGTGGAGGCCATCGCTACTAGGTTGGAGGCCATCGCTAATATATAGGTTGGAGGCCATCGCTACTAGGGTGGAGGCCATCGCTACTAGGTCGGAGGCCACGCCATCGGAGGCCATCGCTACTAGTGTTGAGGCCATCGCTATTAGGGTGGAGGCTATTGCTATTGGGTTGGAGGCAGTCGCTATTATTTTGGAGGCCATCGCTATTAGGGTGGAGGCCATTGCTACTAGGTTGGAGTTGGAGGCCATCGCTATTAGGTTGGAGGCCATCGCTACTGGGGTCGAGGCCATCGCTACTAGGTTGGAGGCTATCGCTATTAGATTGGAGGCCATTGGTACTAGGGTGGAGGCCATCGCTGTTAGGTTGGAGGCCATCGCTATTAGATTGGAGGCCATTGCTACTAGGGTGTAGGCCATCGCTACTAGGTTGGAGGCCATCGCTATTAGGTTGGAGGCCGTCGCTACTAGGGTGGAGGCCATCGTTACTAGGGTGGAGGCCATCGCTTTTAGAGTGGAGGCCATCGCTACTAAGGTTGGAGGCCGTCGCTGTTAGATTGGAGGCCATCGCTACTAGGGTGAAAGCCATCACTATATATATCGCTATTAGTTTTGAGGCCATCGCTATTTTAGGTTGGAGGCCATCGCTGCTAGGGTGGAGGCCATCGCTACTGGGTCGGGGGCCATCACTACTAGGGTGAAAGCCATCGCTATTAGGGCGGAGGCCA